TTCTCCCCATTTCCTCCGCAGGTTTCGTTCGGCCCCTTAAGAAAGGAAAATGATCGCTGTCATTTCTGCGGACAGTCATGTCTAATTATCGCTGCAATTATTTGCCTGGACAGTACGCATACACCACAAAACACACTCCTTACCTGGCACACTGGCACCTGTTGCACATATCAACATAAGTTCCGTGGCGCACTTCATGTCGTCGACGGTGTTCTGCACGCATCCTTGGCTCCTCGTCTTGTCGCATTCCACAGGACTTCCGGAGACCGCAGGTTCAGCGGGTCTCACATCCAGCGGAGGGTGCAAGGAACCAGGTCCTTGCAAAGGATTCCCAAGAACATGTCCAGTACCGTTGAGGGAAAGGTCTGCGTTCGGTTTCTGTAAAATGATAATCATTATTTTCTGTTCAGTTTAGCCGTCCTGGATACCAATGTGCTGCTTAGAAAAATGTAGATATTACATAAACTTTCTTTTTTCATTTTATGATTCAATAAACATATCAATACTTATATGAGTAACCTTAAAGGGTATTTCATTTAACTTATGGAGTAACACATTCCAAAGTTAGCATATAAAAAATTCACCAAAAGACATTTGGTGCAACACATACGGCGCTCGCACTCATACTTGCAATTTTCGTTTATTTTTAGGATTGGTGACTTGCATACCCTTTCCCTTGACAGCTGACACTCCTTACCTTTGCGCACTGGCACAAGTTGCACGTGTCCACATATGTTCCGTGATCGCAGTTCATGTTGACGACGATGCTCTGCATGCACCCTTGGCCCATCCCGCTGCCGCATCCCGCAGGCCCTGTAGAGACCGCAGGTTGAACGGGTCTCGGGGTCGGCAGACGGTGCAAGGGACCAGGTCCTTGCAAAGGGTACCCATGCCCATGCACAATATGGTAGAGCGAAAGGATTTCATTTAGTCCCTGGAAAGTAATGATAATCATTACGATAAAGCGGTGGCAGAGGTGGGTGGTGTGCAAGTTCCAGATATTGCTTTTGATCTGATATTGTTGCTGATATTATTGAGTTTTTCATTTATGTTAACATGGTTCTGTGTTTAGGTTCTCCAACCATTAAAATTGATTTTTGTACTTGTGGAAAAACACAATGTTAATGAACCTTGTCAATATATATATAAGAAAATCTAGAAACAAGAAACATTTACACCAAAGGTAGTAAACACGTTTCATTACAAGATCGCATTCGGACGCCTAAATACAGATTTTTCCCACGTGCACTCATATCTTGTCTCATGCATACATATTCAATTAGTCACGTGCTCGCAACGCTTTACCGTAACACAAACGCTAACTATTCACCTTGGCACAATGGCACATGTTACACATATCCATATATGTTCCGTGGTGCAGTTCATGTCGTCCACGATGCTCTGCTCGCATCCTTGGCCTATCGTCCCGCCGCATCCTACAGGCCCTTCGGAGGCTGCAGGAGGAAGGGGACTCACGGCCATCAGAGGCTGCGAGGAACCAGGTCCTTGCAAAAGATACTCAAGGATTTCGTTCGGTTCCTGTAAAAGTAAATAACGATATCAAAAAACATATCAATAAATAGTTACAATAATAAAAAAACATATGTGACTCTCCACCTCAACACAGATGCACACACTCCTTACCTTGGCGCACTGGCACGTGTTGCACGTCCACATATGTTCCGTAGACGCATTTCATTGGACGACTATGCTTTTCACACATCCTTGGCCTATCGTCTTGGCGCATCCTACAGGCCCTGTGGAGGCTGCAGGAGGAAGGGGTCTCGCGGCCATCAGAGGTTGCGAGGAACAGGTTCTTGCAAAATATACTCGTGCTCTTGTGTAATGCGATAGAGAGAAAGGTTTTCGTTCGGTTCCTGTAAGAGTATAATGGTAACGATATCAACCACCACACCTATAAATAATACTGCATAGAAACACACGAGGCTTTATCCACTTCCACGCACTCATTCAGTTACAGTAACACATACACATATGTAACCCTCCACCCCAACACACACATGCACACACTCCTTACCTTGGTGCACTGGCACGTGTTACACGCGTCCACATATGTTCCGTAGACGCATTTCATCTTGACGACTATGCTTTTTACATCCTTGGCCTATCTTTATTCCGCATTCCACGGATCCTTGCAGAGGATTCCCGTGTCCTTGTCCAATGCTGCCGGGAGATTTTTTCTTAACATCCCTCCATAATATAGTATGATAAAGAAACATGAATGAATCAAAAACTGTTG